CCACCCGCTCGCCCAATGTGTTCTGATATTTCACTCTTGCAATCTGGTCACCCTATAAGGCAGTGACCTAACTCTGTTAGGAGTCACTTATGTATATGCCATGTTTGTAGTTAGAGTTGAGAAAATAACACAAGTGATTTTTTTCCCCAATAATATTTACTTGAGCATTTTATTATGAATTCACTTTGGTTCTGCTCACACACCTTTTGGGTTCTTGTTCTACAAACACTAGCCTGTCACTTGGGTTTTATAGGTAAAATTGTTCACAGAAAGGAAATTGCAAAGTCCCTTGCTTGAATACTCAAGGAGCAAAGATTTTTAATTTGCACATACAAGTATTCATGCTGGAATTATTGATTATTATTATTAATAATAATCATATTTATTATGGCAGTGCCTAAGGACTAACAAGAATGGGACCCTGTTGTGCTAGGCACTGTACAAACACAGAGTAGTAGACAGTACCTGCCCCGAATAGCATGCAATCTAAATAGACAAGACAGATACAGGTTGTGGGAGGGGTAGAACACATAATGAACTACTGATGGTAGCAATTGTCACGTTAGTTCCATAATTTTTATTTATTTATTTATTGTGGGGTGGGTTTTGTTAAGCAAGAATAAGATACATGGAAGTAAAAGTGAAGGGAGGGGGACATTGAAGGGAGGGAGAGTGAGGGGGCCAGGGCAGGGAGGAAGAGGGGTAGGTGTGGATGAAGCGAAGGTGAAGAGACTGAGGGAATGGGAGGACTGGAGCAAACAGCCAATCAGCACAGGGTACAGAAAGTCCTGTCTAAACTGTAGAAAGTTCTCTGAATGTCTGAAGGTCCTGGCTTTGGCTGCTTCTGCAGGCTGCTCCTACTGGCTGGAGTTCATGGCTGATTCCTTGGTTGCATGCTCATCCAATCAAAGAGGAGGGACATGTAGCTTGTTTTGACCAGTCACAACTAAGCAGCACAGCTCAAATGTTGAATAGTCACTATTTGTCCCTAGACTAAAGAATTTAAAAAAAAATGTTGACTATATTCAAATCATGAATAAAACTAAGCAAATTAAAATCTGTTCATGGATGTTCTATGAACAAAAAAGGAGAACTACATTCACTGAATAAAGCACTCATTGCAAATTATGTGTACAGCTTTATTTGGAGTAGAGACAGGACCTAAATATACATATGTGTATGTAACTATGTCTGAATATTAAATATATAAAATCTTTCTTGCTACCTGCCTGTACATGTGATATATCAGCATGTCCAGCCAGGCAGCAATGAGCGTTGTATCATCCCTTTAGTTTTCATATCATGAGTGATAAATGACTATATTGGAATGCATAACATCAGCCTTGCTAACTTTCACCTACAGTACATCAGAGGAGAGTAATCCAATTCACGGAACTCTCAACACTTCAAAAGGAAGTGAGAGATACAGGCCATTAGGAAGAGTGGGCTCTCATTGTTTTCCTGTGCTGATTTAGCAGGGTGCCAATAACCCCCCCCTCCCCCCGTACAGCCTGCTTGGGATCATTTAATCAAAAGAAAGCAGCAAGCAGCATCCATTTTCTCAGTCATATAATTTGCACAGTGGTACACAGAAGAATTTTCATCTGCTTTTTCACTCTTAAAGGAATTTGAGCATATGTGGCAAGATTTCACAGTTACAGTAGTATGAGTTTCCTGGAGGGAACTCTCCTTTCTACCTGCATGCTCATCAATTCTGACTTAGATTCATCAATGACTGAAGCACCAAAAATCAGTTAAAATCCAGCTTTTGAGAGGAAGGTGCATGGAATGATATTCTGAAAAGACCTCAGACAATTTATTTAATTATTCTCTTTGTTGGGTTTTATGAGGTGAATTAATTGAATTCTACAGGACTCCCATTTTATTGCATTATTGGGGAGCTGGTGAAGATGCTGCAAATGCTTTGTGCCATATCATCACAACTGAGTGTCCTTGCAGACTTTGAGTGTGTGAGTTGGTGCTGAAATCACCATGAGAATAACTTTCCTCAGAGAAAACAACAAGGAGTCCTTGTGGCACCTTAGAGACTAACACATTTATTTGGGCATAAACTTTTGTGGGCTAAAACCCACTTCACGAAAGCTTATGCCCAAATAAATGTGTTAGTCTCTAA